AATAATAAAGAGAAGATGAATCAATTTATTAAAAGACAGATGAATGATGATCCAATTGATGTTATGATGGATATTATTGAAGAAAATAAACGATTAAGAAAAGAACTAGAAAGAATCCGATTGTTATTAATTAATGAAAATAGAATGAATGAAGAACTTCGGAATGGTGTTTTAAATGAGAGAGTTAATCTTCTTTATGGTATTCATTGGTAATAAATTAATTAAATAATTTTTTGAACTAAATAATTTTAGAATGAATTATTTTGATATAAATACACAAGATAGTAGTGATATAGAAGATGAGAGTGAAGTAGATGAAATAGGAATAGATAAAATAGATGAAATAGTGAATAATAGATTATCTAAAATTAAAGAAGGAAATAAAATACAAGAAGTTCATCATCAAATATTCTTTTATTATAATAGTTTAAATATTATATTAGGTAAACAAGGAACAGGAAAAACAACATTTATAATGAAAGAATTAATAAAAATAAATAAAATAGAACATTTATATGGAGCAGTTATTTATGTAACAAAAAATGTAGGAGAAGATGAAACATTTAAAGAATTAAAAGATTTAATTAAAACACCAATTTATGGAATGAATTATGAAAAATTTATGCCAGCATTAATACAATATTATAAACAACCACAAGAAAAACATTTATTAATTATATTAGAAGATGCATCATTTTCACTTATGAAAGAAGATAAAACATGGGGAGAAATTATTACAAGATTAAGACATTTAAAAACAACTATTATTGTAAATATGCATATTTGGAAAAGTTTAAATGCCTCATTTAAAACACAAGTAGCAACAATTATTATATTTAAAGGATATTCTAAAGAAAATTTTAATTATATATTTAGACAAACAGCAGCAAATACAAGTGGAACTGTTGGATATTATTTATATTTAGGAATGAATAAAGATCAATTATTAAAAATAGATAATTTAACAGGAGATATAAGTGTTATTAAAAAATAATTGAATTAATCACTAATTCTTAAATATTTTGACATATTATCATAATTAGGATCTGGATGTTTTTTCCCACCAGTCCATGTAATATTTTGTTTACCTAAATTAAATTTTCCACTTCTTCCTTCATTTTCTGGACAATCATAAACATATACCCAAATATTTCCAATACAATTAGGAATAACTTTTGCATTAATCAAATGTGCAAGTGCAATTGCATTAGTTTTCCCTCCAAAGAAATTGTATTGACGTATTGAGTTTAATGTTGTTATTACTAAAATAAATGAATGAAGTTCGAATACATTTTCTTTTTGTATCTTTTCCTTCGTTGCTTTCTTTGTTTTACCAATTCCACTTAAATCATCAATTGAATCTTTAAGTCCAATAGTAAACTCTTTTTGAACTTTTTTCCAGGTTTTCCATAATATTCTTCAACTTTAAATTTATCATCTTTTGCATTTTCTTTACCATCCATCATAATTATTCTTCTTTGTATTGTAATAATTATATTTGAAATAAGAAGGTCAATAGTATTAACTCCTCCCTTAGGATCTATTAAATAAAATAATCCATTTCCTTTCATATTTGTTAATTTTGAAAATTCATTTAATCCATTCATAATTTTTGTGTTTAAATCATCAATAGAAGGTTCAATCGTTCCCAATATTGTTGGATAATTTCCAAGTGCTTTTTTTAATGCTGCAATTTTTGCTTTATTTTTCTCTCCAGTGTATGTTTCTAATTCCTTAGTAATTTTAGAAAACATATCACCATGTTTATAATCAGTTATTCCTGATGGAATATTTACATAAATTAAATTTTTATATTTTGGTGAATTGTTTAAA